TTGTTCAAACAGTGGTTGTGGACAAGGACTAAGGTTCATGGTCAAACTCGTGTTGAAGAAAAAACCAACACCGCCGACTCCCCTACTGTCGCATGTTGCGAGGAACAGTTCTTTTCCATTGTTATGGGCAGCGTTGAATGGGTGGCGTCGTCCTGTCCCACCAGTCCGGTGACGCTGTGCCTTATTCTTTTACCCTGCATCATCAGGTTCTCAACGGTGGATGCGGATGCAAGTGAATATGCTTTGTAGGTACAGATCCGTTACCTTGGTCCTTCAAGATATAAGCAGCATAGAATGGCCCCTGAGATATCAACAACCTCTGTGCTTGTCTCATTCAATGCTGCCGCACTGGGAAATTATCCTAGGTCAGAAAAATGAGGCCCACTCATTTTGCTGCTTTTATCATTTAATATTCACGTACAGCCTGCTGAGCTTTGAACGACGCTGTTGGATACACTCAACAGTGGCTTACTCTTCTCTCCCAGAGTAGGCCAGGAGTTTATCTGTAAGGGGCGACTCTTGTCCACCTCCCATATATTTTCCTGTTACTTGATTGTAGGTTTTTGGCCGAAGGGCTCCAGCTTAATTTCCATCTTTTCGGAGTTTTACTGGTCTAGTTAACGTGGTTTCCTGTAGTCCCGATGTCAGCCTAGCGAAGGTCCGCCCCACGTCGTCACTACCATATGTAGTCGCCGCCATTGTGGATCAGAGGTTAATTTGCCACCGTGCGACTAGTTTGGTACCAGAACTGTGCTTGATCCTGGTATTGGTCGACATTAGCGTCTTGAAACTGCTATTTCCATTGGCATATAATCTTCAATAAAAAAGCGGCATCTCAGACTTTCACCCAGGAATGCACGAAAATTCTAAAACGACTTAATGCCTTCATGTGTAAGTTTAAGCACAAACTTGTAGTTGGATTAGCGAAATCCTATTTTCGCAGTAACGTTCTGGCATAATAACACAACATAACAGGAACATAGGTTCAGTAATGATATCTTTCGGTTAACCATTGAGGGATTAATAGTGTTCGCCAGAAAAAAATTTCACATTGAGGTTTTATGTTATTGACCGCCGTAGTTCTATGCGCACTAATCCTCTTATCTACGGCTCATTGTTCCCAATGCCATTGATCGTACTTACGCGAAGATTTTTTATGAACTGTGAGCTGGGTTAATCGTTGATTATCAACACAAAGGGTATGAAAAAGCCTTAGAGTTTACAGCTATAACCTCATGGCATTGTTAACGAGGACACAGTTACAGTTTTTAATCATGTGGTTCTATTATTCCAAGAAGATATTATGCAGAGGCGCTGTAAGCAAAAAGGAGGAATACTTCATATTACATTGGTGAGACATGTCATTTGATTTATTACAGCTAACTGCCCGATTTTTATAAAATAAAAATGACCCCGCTTAGAAAGCGTTATTCCAAATATCTCCGCAACTAGGATAATCACAACTGAGCTCCAAGTTGAGGGAACATGGATATAGAGAAAAGGTTAGTAAGTGCTTAGTCAAGGGCACAGGTCGATTATTGAATCATAGTGGGTTAGAACTGATGTGAAAAATAAATGGAGATGTCACACGAGTAGGTGTTCCTTCATGGTGAGCGAGTTTTTGCAACAGACAACGAACTTTGGATACTTACTTGGATGGAACCTTGACGAATACAAATTGGGAAGAAGAATAGAGCATGGTAGACAGAAACACAGGAGAATGCCTAAGTTTCATTAATCTAAAAGAATCATCATAGTTCACCAAGCTTTTAAATGGAGGATATCCTATTCTTGTTACAATATTGGTGTTAACAAAGAAAAAAGCTTAACCCTTTTATTTACTGCCTTTTTCTTCTTAATGGCAGGGTATGTTGCGAAATATAACTCGTATGAAACGCTGAGATATTTGCAAAACTCCGGATCACAGGTGTATGCAGTGGGGAACGAACACGCGCTTCTCCCCGGTAAGGACAACAACGTGTGTTCGTTCCCCCACTGCGTACATCTGTGGTCCGGAGTTTTGCAAATATCTCAGCATTTCATACGAAGGAAAAAAGCCACATTTGAGCTCTCTGGAGTTCTCAAAACTTAACAGTGAAGGGATAAATACTCTTTTTCATTAATTTAACGTGGATAAAAATTCGGACTACCGACTTTCTATTAACTCTTTTCTATTCTATTGTTCTTGCTCAGTGGAAGGCACATAATAAACGGATCCGAAGAAAACGATACTGCCGAAACGTCACCTTTAACGGAATAAGGAATAAAGTGACACCTCGTGTTTGCTCAGTAAGAATATAGAGAACTATGAAGAATAGACTTTGACAACTGAATTTGAATAGAATCACATTATTGACCAGCTGGGGATATCTTCTGTTAAAGTATCTTCTCTTTAGAAAATATGTTAACGAATGAAATGATTTCAAGCACACGGTTTCATTGCTCCTCTGTTACCTCAAAAAATTATTGCATTTTCACCGAAAATGGATCGTATTTTCATCAGAGAAGCTGTGAACAGTGCTGATGTAAAGCGAGTTTCAAAACCGACATCTATGAATTCTTTATATTTCTGTCCAGCAAACACGAGGTGTTACTTTTATTCTTTATCCACGAATAAGCTGACGTTTCGGCAGATTTCGCCTTCCTCAGAGCCTGGAAAGGTCAAGTTGACAGCGATCTACCCAGCGAAACACCTCCGTAACCAAACTGAGAAAATGCTAAACCAAGATCTCAATCACATTGAATATAGAATAGATTTTAACTTATTATTTACTGCCTACTCTTTTTAACGGCAGGGTATACATTGTGAAATATAACTTCAATGATGCTGAGATATTTGCAAAGCTCCGGACCGCAGGTGTATGCGGTGGGGAACGAACGCGCTATTGTCCTTCCCGGAGAGTCGTGCGTTCACCATCACACCACGCGGGTCCTTCGTTTTGTCTGTCTCTCAGCTAGTTCTATCGATCTCGATCTCGATAGAAGGTCGATTGTAACCCCTGCTTCAAAATCTTCTCCGTTATGTCTCTGCGTCCTATGCGTGCCTAGTGGAGTATTTGGTTTACGTTTGCCGACTAGGTGTTCTTTTATACGGACGCAGAGTGGTCTACTCGTTTCGCCAACGTATTCGTCCCCGCATGTATTACAAGAGATCAGATAGACTGTACCCGAACTCATGCAACACCGTCTCTACCATCAGGGCAAATTATGCAATTTTGCGTTGCATATACGGTCACATAGCCGATTACGAACCAGCTGGTGCCTAAACTCGAAGGCATTTCAACTACGTTTACCGAATTCTTTAGACCCACCCTTCTTAAAGCAGCGTTTTATAGCAGCACTTACCTCATTTGAGATGAAGGACAGGATAAACGGTTCCTTTTCATAGCTAGAGTTGTCGTTAGGGCACCTGTGGTTTCCTCTACAACATCTTGAACTACAGTTTTGTATCCATTACAAATGGCTAATTGCCGTACCAAGTTCCGGGATTCCTCACTTTGCTCTCTTCCTGTGCACACGCCTTTGGCTCTTCGAAATATCTTTACCGCAAGCGCCGTTTTCATGTGAGAGGAGTGAGAGTGGAGGTAATGAACCAAGGTGCTTTTACCACTTGGCTTTCGGTACCACTTCGTAACGTAGCCATTTTCTGACAGGTTAATTTGAACGTTCAGGAATGGAAGCCAGTTTTCCTTTGGTTTCTCTCGGGTAAACTTGATATACTCTGACTGTTCGCTGAACAACTCGAAACATTTGTAAATTTCTTCTTGTGTTGAGCAAATGACAAAGTAGTCATCTATATATCTATAGTAGAGTAGTGGCACGAGGTCGGTTACTGGTACTTCCACCTTAAACATTAATTCAATAGCAAGGCTTGGTACCAGTCACCATTCCATTGCCAACCCTCTCATTTGAGAGTAGTACTTTACGGAACTTCTGAGATTCAGCTTTATTAATTCTAAGACATTGAGCTTCGCATATAGTTGTCCCATCTTTATTTTTACGTGAACGATTCATGAATAGTCTTCCCCTAAAGTGGAACTGGGCCTTCAACCACACTTCAGGTTGCTGTTTATCCTGACTTTCTCAACTTCATAGTCGCCATTCTCTCCTTTTTTCTCCCTCTTATTATAACAATTGCTATGATTAAGGCTATCATTATTATCATTTGTATTATTAACGTATTAATGAAAAACACATGAGGAGAAGGTGAAAAGATCAAAATGGGTGGTTCTTTGATTAAAGAGACCACCTCACGTGTGAACCTCGAGCGTTCAACGAACACTGAGAATAGAATGAAAGAGGAATTAGGCAGAGGTAGGAGAGCTGCATGTTCCACACTCAGGTCACTCAAAGAAGCCACTCCTTCCAACGGTTTACCGCCTCATCATGGATAGAAGGTGTACCTGGGTGTAGGGTTGCAAAGTACAGCGGAGAGATTCGTCCTCCCAGCAGGGTCTCTCAGGTTGAGGTGTCCTGCGTTTCCATCAGGAAGCCTAACTAAGAGCAAACCAATACCAGCCACCAACGTGCTGGTCTCAGATTAGTCGCATGGTAGCATTTCTCGCTCGGATCCACAAGGGCTCCGACCGCTTTGGTAGTGATGATCTGGGGCAGTCTTTGGCTAGGATCATATTGGGACTCCAGAGAAACACTAAGGGACTAAACCAGGAAAGCTCTGAGAAATGGAGATTGTGCTGAGGACCGCACAACCAGTGGAGTCGGGCCGTCCAAGTATCCAAATACAAGATAGCTAAAATTTCAAAACTATTGATGTAGGAATTGTAGGATATGGTAGGAACAACAAGTCATAAATGTAGACAACTTTCAAATGAAGTTTTACCACATCGATGAGCTAATATGAATACAATCTTTGAAATGTCTTCGCATTTATGTTCAAGTGAGCAATATTAACCAGCATTAGAAAGTACAACGCCAACGTATGATCCGTATGAAGTTCACTTCTTATCCAGTTCCTGTAAAAAAATGTTCATATTATGATTTCAAAACAGAATCGAGAGACTTTCCCAAACCTTCTTGATGAACTGAGGAAGAACGAAAGCGGCAGAATGTAATTCTGAGTTGTAATACCGTAAGTTCATATTCACCACACCGTCATCTGTCAGTTTACGCGACGGTACGGTGACATCAGTGTCCTCAAATTGAAACTATCCTTATAAATATCACTGGCATTAAGTTATTTACACACATGCATGCCACTAAAATCTAATGCTCAGAAGATCAGCATGCCTTAATCGAAAACAGAAAACAATTGGACGACACACCGATTTCGAACATATGATGTAGCCCATCGTGCCGGACGGATATGTAGAGACAGCCGATTGGGCGTATCTTACGTTAGCAAACAAGCGACGGTTAAAGCGAACCATGTGGGCGATCAAACCCAGATGTAGCCAAGCGCATTCGCCTACAACACATTGCATTCCTCACAGACAACACTAGCAACCCTTTCGCGACGAAGTTGTGTTTCTTTTCCTTTTGCCAATACTCCGATTACTAAAGCATTTCATAAATTCAGAACTTTATAGATTATTAGGAAAGATTTTACACTATTGCAGTAATTACAAATACACTGTGTTCATTCAAATTTAAATATATTTAAATTTCCAACTCCCAAAAAACTGAAGAGGAGATTTGAATTTCTGGAATTTGCAACGGAAATTCGCCAGCGCTGAAGTAAGCAATATGTAAGGGGTTACCACGTTGTCCTCCTGGACGAAATCCCGTTTATTCATCTACTTTCGTGTTCGAAATATGAACCTTGAAGCAATAAAGTTGAAAAACCATAAAACCAAAAGCCTGAGGAGACAAAAAATGTCGTCGCAGTAAAACAAAATAAATTTTGCACTGCAGCTTTCATTGCAGTTAGTAAAATTCAATATGAGCTAAGATATGTTGAATTAAAGCTGAAAGCAGCCATTGTGTTCGTATGGTATGAGTCCTATATAGGTCACGTCGTCGCGTAAGTGTTAACCAGCAACGGTTAGACAACAGAACGATTGCGAGCACAGAACAAGCAGCTAACAAAGAGCCGGGAAGAACCTTCGATTTACTGCAGACGATGTATCCCATGAGCCCACTGGTGTAACTTGGTACAGAGCCAACAGCGAAGCGAACAACAGGAAAGATTGGAGTACAGTATTCATGGTAGACATTGCGAATCAGGGCAAGGTCTAGCCAAGGACACTCGCCTTAATTCACACTATTCAACCATAAATTGGAGTGAGCCTGTGTATGAACGCTGTTTACACTTATTGTAATACCTGACCTTGTGAAGAAAGCACACCATTTTCATTGAGCGCGTCTCGCAATAGTTCATAGTAAGATTGCCCAAAAAGACTCTCTGCAGGTCCAATTGGATCAGACGAGTCAGTGATGATAACATCAAACTGATTCTGAAAGAAAAGTTAACAATGTTGTTGAGATGAAAACAGTAGATAAATAGACAAACAACACAAACAATGACCATGATAGCCTATGAACAAATGGCGCATAGTAATGGTCATTATATTTTGAATAGCTTAGAAGAAATCTCCCTCCACAACTCATTGCCTCATCATGGTGAACAGTGTGCTCACATTGTTACCCCCAAAAAATTCACAAATAATGTGAAGGAGTGCCCTGCTTCCATCCAAAAATCTTTACCTAGTATACTGTGAATTAGTGCGAGTAAATGTCACCAGAAACTGGTGGAAATGTCAATATTCGGCTAATTCATATAGGCTAGTGACTGCACGGTTACATTAGAATTCTAATGAGTCCTGCCTTAGTAACACATACGAAGTTATTTCGTGAACAAAATCAAGTATATGACAAATTTTGAGAAGAAATCAAATCTCAGTTGAGCAGAACACCACTAATGCCATGAGACTACCCCCGACCTTCCACATGTATCAATGTTCTACAAAGTAGAAAGAGCAAAAAAGTAATAAAAATTAGTATACGCCAACATAGTCGTTATGGTACCAGGTTTTATTCTGCATCTTCACATTTCCCCTCCCGTCGAATTCCACGTTCCTCTGTCACTAGTCACCATTATAAATCCATTAAAAAGACACCGTTAGCCAAACAAACGTGTCCTACGATAAGCTATGAAACTGAAGTGGAAAATTGAAAAAAGAAAGCTGGAAACCGTAATATTGAGAAGTTAACAAGAACACGCGCACTTCACTGAACATCAGTTTCTGCGATGCAAGAACGATGTCGCTGTATAAAAGCTTTCCATGCTAACACAATTGACTTAGACATCGAAGACAGCATTAGAGAAAGGATACTGTCTACTGGATAACTCCATAGTGCTACTAGTCTGCAACAGATCTTATCCTTATGAAGAGTGCATCTCCAATTCCAGACAACATCACGGCATACTTCCATCCTCAAAGATAGATTCGATTTATCTGGAGCGTTTACACTAACTACCTTATGAATAATGCATGGCACCACTAGCCATTGCTACGGACAATGCGGCCATGGCCCTCTGACCAAAACTAATTCATTGTTCATCAATGCATAATTAACTGCTTTCAAAGAAAGGAGGACTGACAAGCGTCCTTGAATTCGCATCTTTGCCTTCTCATTTACCACTCTCGATAAAGCGGTTCATTAAAAATTATCTTCAACTCATCACTCCTTGACGCGATTAAAATTTATAAAATGCAGTTTTTAACTAATAATTGATTATGCCTCTCTTTGGAATCACTATGATGGCCCATAGTCATAAAATTCAATGACCATACAAGGAATATATAAAAATATCGATAAACCCGCGACAATTATAGAGCAAGTAACACGCAAGGTTGACAGCACCGGACTGGATGGTTTTCCTGATAACATTTGAAACCAGGCAGTAATGTTCACAAAACATGGCAAGCTATAAAGAAGAACACCCAGAATATGTACACTGCAAATATCACAGAAATTACTAAAAAAAAAAAAAAATACGGAAGAGCCGAAAAAAGAACAGAAGAGGCATGGTAATTTCGGAGTGACGCGACGAAATGGACGGCAGGAAAGACATACAGTTTGAAGTGTGCGCGGAGAGAAATTAGGTGCCATCCGACGTGCCCGCCACTCAAAAATAGGTGTCGTCTCAAATATATTTAGAAATTACCATCATCTCCCATCAAACCAAGAGGTTCCAGACCAGAAGCATGTCCACGTCATAACATCGTAACTCATACCACAAATGTGCAAGCGTTTGCATAGCACATAGCTAATCATGAAAATCTCCCAGCTCAAATTTTACTAACCAGTCTTCAACAAATCCATTTTACTGGCAGCAGATAATAAGAAAAGTTGTCAATACCTTGTTATTTTTCAGAAATTCGAAGCCATCGCCACAATAAAGATTTAGTTTAGGGCTTGAAAAACAGCACGACATACCAGGTAGAAACCTGTAAGAGATTGTAGATGAAAGGCCACAACAATGTTAGCAAGCATTTGCAAATTTGATAATAGGGGAAGCGAAAAATAAAATAACAAAGCCTTAGTTTTTGTTTCCTGAGTTCACCGAGAAAGCAAAGAATAATATAACAATATCAACACAATCATCTGTATCACCTGTTCTTCCGTTGATTGTCGAGTGACTTGAGCGGGCGCTAGTAGATCGTCCATTTCTCCCTGTCGCGCGCAAGAGTAGCCCGGTGAGTTCTGCTCGCTCTAAGAACTCGTTCAACATCATATTTTTCCTCTAGTCTTTTCGTTAAGAACTCTGACCATCGGGTCGGTGGTCTTCCTGCAGTGCGTTTGACATCGCGAGGAACCCAGTTACTGACGCCTTTTGTCCATCGGTTGCCGGTCAAAAGCATTATGCGTCCGGCCTATGTTACATTCAACAGTTCGGCAAATATTTAAAATGGGCCCTTTGACTTTTGATCGTTGACGTAGATCGGAGCTTCGGATTCCTTGTCTCAATCGCCTGACACGGAAAACTCGTAGCATCGTCTTTTCGAATACGCGTTCAATAACGCTGAGTGACCGACCTTTCATCCTACTTTCGTAGCCACCAGGTTCCGGCGCATATGTTAAGACAGAAAGAATCGTGCAGTAGAAAAAATGAGCACGTAGTCGTAGGGTGTTCTTTGTTCTCTTCACTACATCCTCGATGCTCTTGAAAGCTCCCCAAACCGCTCGCTTCCTTCTGCTCAACTCTGGAGCTAAGTCGTTCATCATGCTGATTTCCCGGCATAGATAGACGTAACTGGAGCGTTCGGAGGTATTCGTACCGCTGGACGTGAATGCAGCATACATAGCTAATCCATTCCTCATGAACATCGTTTTTGTGAGATTCAGTCGAAAATCAATCTTCCCACAGGTCTTATCAAAGTCAGCAAGCATTCCTTGCGATAGGATAATGTTTGGCGTTATAAGAACGATGTCATCATCAAAGCGAAGATAGCGTAATTGCCGACCACCGGTTTTCACTGCAATGTTTTCCCATTCCAATGTTCGCATGACGTTCTGGAGGGTGGCGGTAAATAATTTCGGCGAGATGGTATTGCATTGCCTAATCCCCCTTTTGACGTCGACATTAATATCGTTGTAGAATGGTGATATCTTGGTTGTGAAGTGTTTATATAGCTAACAAAGAATCTCTATATACTGAATAGGCTCCTTAGCTGTCGAGGGCTTCCATGGCTACTTCTACCTCAATGAAAGCGGCCTATTGTATTCTTGCGACACTTCAATGAGCCTTTTTAACGTGTGGGATGTGGTAATTGTACTGAATTGTCATCGGAGCTCTACTTATTCATATGGCTGTCCTTCGTGCAGTGTTCCGGAAATCCTCTTTGGGGTGAATCGACAGAAAAGTTTGTAGACGATAGGCAGTAAACAGATTGCGCGATGGTTGCCGTTATCGAGAATGTCACCATTTTTAAACAACAGCACGGTCTCGCTGGTCTTGTAATAAATAAGAACTTTGTATTTTGGTAAAGAACCGATCCAGTGCGTTTCTGAGGACTGACGGAAGTTTTCTTCAGGTGTTCAGAACATATCCTGTCCTGAACTGATGTTGTTCTATTCTTCACCAATGAAATAGCATGTTGGATTTCGGAAGAAGCGGTGGTACGACATATCCATCTTCCTTTATTTCATATGAGGGCAGGAGAACGTGGTTATTGAAGAGATCCTAGTACTAACCGTGAATGATTTTCTCCATTGCCTTTCTGGAAGCACTAACTGCTCTATTTGGGCATCAGAGCGCAATCATCTTGGTTTTGTAACTGGAAAAGTTTCGGTGGGCTTCGCAAATCCTTCTTCAAGCCTCTGCAGCTTTGAACATAACTGCTGCTCTTCTCTCTTTGAGATATTCTTCTATCACCTGTCTGCATTGCTTTGTAAGTTCAGACGTGAGGAAGCTGGTTGCATGTAGTTCGAGCGAAGCTTTCATAGCGCTAACGTGAGTTGAATAGGTCGATAGTATTTCTCGTCGATTTTATCAAGAAGGCATCTTCCCAAGAGCCGACTAATAAAGTGAATAAATCCTACTGCATGGGGGTTTTCGGAACTTCGTTTCTCAATTAAGCGGTTTTTTCTCCTTTTCGCGAAAAACGAAGTCGTGCACGAAGGAGGCGATGGTCCGGCTCAGCTTAGAATTTTGGGACAACAACGACATTGGTTAGGCAAGACCTTCCAGTTACTATGACATAGGAGTATTTCGTTGTGGCACTTTCAATTGGGAGACTCCCACGTTCAGCGTTGATGGGGGTGGGGGTGGGGGGGAGGTGGCTTCTGGAATTGCCAATAGCCATAAACTGTCTTGCTCGTTAAGATAAACTCATAAAACCGCTCGCCCTGTTCGTTCTATTCTAACCTTTCCGTCCCAATGTAGCGTTCTTAACACGTTCTTCTAAGCCAAAATTAGCTTTAAAATCTCTAATAACGACCTTCAAGAATGTACGACCTTCTCTGCAGAAGTTCTCCAAGTCCACTTAGAATGCCTCGACTACTTCTTCGTGACAGCTTGATGTCGGCGAGTGGACGAAGATGAGTTTTAAAGCCGGTATTGATCCACATTTTTTCAATTTGTGACGTCCGATTCGGGTTATTTGTTCGAATGAATCGATGTACATGGCTGAACCTCGCCGACGCCGCCGACTCCTCTACTGTCGCATGCTTCCAGGAATAGTTCTTCTCCGGTATCATAGACGGTGTTGAATGGGTGGCGTCTTTTCGTCACACCAGTAGGATGACGCTGTACCTTATCCTTTTTGCCCTATGATCAAGTTTTCAATCGAGGACTCAATGCAAGTGTGCATGCATTGTAGGTGTAGATCGTCACCTTTGTTATTGCGAATTAAGCAGTAGAGAATGGCCCTGAAATTTTAACAGCCTCTCCGTACTCGTCCTAAACAATGCTGCCGAATCAGGGACTCTTTCGGGATCAGGAGAATGAAACCCAATTATTTTACTGAGTTTAGCTTTTTGATATTCACGTATTCCTGTGCTCTGGACGTGGGCTGGGTGTACTCACAGGTAGCTTGTCATCCTGTCCCGGAGTGGACATGGGGCTAATGTGTTAGAAGTGGCTTCTAACTGTCTCCCAAACTTTTTCCGTTACTTAATTGCAGGTTTTCGGCCGAATTGATTCGTAGAATACAACCCACATATACACCCACGCACACGTGCATGAATAAGTCCTCGTAAATACAGAATATGTGTGCCAAATCGCCACAGCAGAAACAGCTAGACTATTTACTGGATCAATCAACGTCTCAGGGAAGTAAAGGTCGCTTTTGGTCCGCTAGTAACCCCTTATCTGCCACCTGGGGACGCACCACGTAGCCTCGCGACTAACCGATTCGAGATCCCTCCATGAGGAAGATAAGTGCGGTACAATAATAGTAAAATAATAATAAAACAATAAGAGTACAATAGCACCAATAATAAAAACGACATAATACATAGCGAAGGCTTATGCGTTATAAAAACAAACAGGTGGGGTGGACTACGAATGTTTGTTTCTTAAATTCAAACATTAAAGGTGAACTTCCTAGCAGTTTTGCGAACTCTCCCTGATGAGTATGGAACCACGAACATTCTCTGCGAACTTTATAAAACGGAAACGGCTCTGAAGAAAGCGAATTCACCCAAAGGTTAGTCACCTAAAAGCAAGGACACTTTAACTACCCCGTGTTACCTTATCAAGAAGAGCTCGTAAAACTAGAACTTGATTACTAGTGCCGATGCTAACTGAAAGTTGGTTTTTTCGAGGTCTGAACAGTCACTGCACAATAGATGAAGCAAGCCGAAAAAGAGCATACTTTTTTGAAACATCGATTACAACGTGATCTATTTCACACATCGTGACTTGTTCAACTTCGGGATGCTTCAAAACTTCTCTCAAGATTCCACCATCACCACCGCCAATAATCAAAACCTTAATGTTTAAATTATAAAGCGTTAAACCAGAAGGTTGCTGAGATATGATCAAAATGTAGAACCTCACTTGAACTTCCAACTCATGGTTACACCTACCAGAAGTTCATGCGCTCATTTCCGTTCACGGTTAATTGTTGATAACATTTATATTGTAAAAAAAATGGCTGAGATAAAGGCAAGGCAAGAACGTCGATTGTTGTGGCCTTAAGAAGGCCGCGGGTTCGAAGCTCATTTGAGGTTCCGTCTTTGCTCATATCTCGGCATCCTTGTAGTTGCACTTCACATAACACCCTACCACGAAACAAGAATAGGCAGTAAATAGAAGTTATGGCATAAAGTGTCAATTTTATGGCGTCGGCAAATCCCACGAATTACAGATCGTAAAAACAATGCTGATTGTAACATTGTCATATCAAACGTATATAAAATTGCTCAGATAATAGAGAAAAGGGGCTAGCTAACCTTTTTTGGATTTGGGTGTGCAAACATCGGTAGGTGAGCGAGCATTTCCTGATATGAAAATTCGTCTCGCTCCGTTGCTTGTATGATTCCGTCTAGTACAAGTACATTCCCATAACTTTCACTAGAACATAAAATGAAAACAGATAATTAATGTTTAGCTTTTTCATTATTATCTACCTATGTTATTTCCAACCCAGATAACGAAACAGGTTCGGTCACAGATGGGCGAAATTGAAAACTGTTACCTCTTAAATACCAGAACATCTTGATAATCGCTCCTTTGGTGAAACAAAACTTCTTTTACTTTTAGAGAAAAAGCTTGGCCAGGCCACGCACCGCCCATTACCACTCCATCTGATTTCATCTGCTTCACATTTCCTGATTCTGCAATGTGGAACATCTAAGATATTTATGATAAGCGATTCAATTCTTCATGTGATTCTTCTTCAATAACAACAACTTCTATTATAATGCTAAGACATTTACAAAACTTTGTCTCCAGGCCAGATTGAACCGCGATTACCTTCCAGACGACCTACATCTTACGCATGGTATCACTTTGGCCCTTGCTTTGGCTTTCTCTCAGCCAGTTTCCTACCTAACGCTGCCATCAGCGATCACCCGTCAACGGGATTGATCTGAGGAACACAAATCGGCAATAAACTAAGCTGAGCTGCCGCTGTAGTCAAGTCATTTAAGTCAAATAACAATGTTAACTTTTTTAACTGCCAATTATTGTTTTTCTACCGGGTGAATCCCCAGCCTAACTGGGTTTAGTGGTGACTTGTGCTTTCCAAATCATTCCTGTTGACGGGTGATTGTTCATGGCAGCGTCAAGTAGAAAACTGTGAAAGGTAAAACAAGGGCCTTATTGGTGTTGTGCGTAACACGTGAGCCCCACGGAAAGAGTAACCACTGTCCGATATGGGCTGGGTCCAAGTTTCGCAAATATCTCAGCACCATAATAGCTGTATTTCACATCATACCTTCGTCTAAAAGATAATAATAGGCAGTAAACAGAAAAGTTAACAACAAGAAGAAGTAACAATACCCACTACCTCCCAGTGTTGTTTCGTTTATTTTTCCTTCACTGGCGTTCTCGTCTAAGTCAAATGCAGATTGTTAATATTATGTACTACAATCCCTTTTATCTAACACAATGTCTGACCCCTAATCTCATGGTGACCGCGTGGGATGACGCCTAATTTTCCATCGGTTGCGGACTTGGTACAAGTCGTCCGCCATTCAAACAGGTCTTTGTCGGCACAGAAAGAACGATTTCGATATTTTTCGACAAGAGATAAAAAAATATTTCGACGACTGGGGACATTGAGGAGTTGAGGTCTAGTTGGACTTATGAAAGAGACTTTGACCTATCAACCTAATAATACAAATAAGTTTTCTAAAGTATATTTTTGGTCCAAGTATGTTTGAAATTCGCAATTCCAGAAAAAGCGAAAAAAGAGTTCGAAGTTTTTTCTAAAAAATGGGTGATGATGCTTAGTGTTGTGCGGGTACCGCATGAAAGAAACCATATTTTTCATCACACGCGCTGTGATTTCAAAACAAGACATGCCGACCAGACGTTCTATAATTCGACTGTTCTACACGATTCTATAACAACCTCTGAGTTTCTCACACTTTGCCTTCCTTCACGCTTTACTATGAATCGTTCCATGTTTTTGAACATTTCAAACTTTTATGCACGATGACAGAAGAATTCGTTTAACATTTAACACTAATTTCAGCATCTTAACCTTTTTATTTACTGCCTATTCTTTTTGATGGCAGGGTTGGTTTTTTTTTTTTTTTTTTTTTTTAACTTTCATAATGCTGAGATATTTGCAAAACTCCGGACCGCAGGTGTCTGCGGTGAGGAACGAACGCGCTATTATCCTTTCCGGCGAGTAACGCGTTCACCACCACACCATACGGTTCCTTCGTTTCACCTGTCTCTCAGCTAGTTCTATCGATCACAACCATCAGCAATCACCCGTCAACGGGATTGATCTGGGGCGCCCAAATCGGCATTGAGCCCAGTTAAACTGACGCTGTAATTATAATCACAATCTTAACTTTTTTATTTACTGGCTATTCTTTTTAATGGTAAGGTATGTTGCGAAATATAACTTTCATAATGCTGAACGCGTTACTCCCCGGAAAGGATAGTAGCGCGTTCGTTCCCTATTGCAGACACCTGCGGTCCGGAGTTTTGCAAATATCTCAGCATTATGGAAACTAATTTCAGCCTTTAGTAAGGTTCTCTAAGATTTACAGAGTCAATATATTCCAGTGATTTCTTCTGTAATGTTCTCTTTACATCCACTCATTTCAGACAATAACTACGACTCATAATAGGGATTATGGTTGGGAAGTATTTGTCAAAAATTGCACTTTATATGCTTCAAGCTACGGTCCTGCTATTTTCTTTTTTGGGGTAACTCTTGGCAATTTTTATTAACTAATGTACTTGGGGGCTCGACAATTTGACAGAATTATAGAAACTACTATGATCTATCGTTCCATGGAAATCTATAGACTATGTTACTACACATCTCATACCGTATGATAACTATCAATACATTTCTCAAAATATTTCAACTGATAACGTTTGCCATAAGCTGAGATATGTCTACTTAAAGTCAAAAAGAGAGACGTGCTCAATTCATCCGTACTGTATAGCAAACGGTCGCACTGGTTGTGCAGGCCACATCATAATCTCCATTTTTCGGAGATTTGCTGGTTAAACAATTGTGGTTCCATGGAATCTCGAGGTAAGCCTGGCCAAAGTCTGCCCCAGGTCTTCACCACCACAGACAGTCGCAGCCCTTGTGGATCAAAGGGAGATTTGCCACCATGCGACTTTGATACCAGGACGGTGGTGGATCCAGGTTTTGGTTTACCGTTAGCTAGGCTTCCTGATGGAAACGCCGGACTTCTTTCCAGCCTGAGAGACCTTGCCAGGAGATGAATCCCCCGATGTACATCGCAGTTCGACACCCAGGAACACCTCCCAGCGAGGTAAACCGTTGGATAACTGTTTCCAAAGACGCCATCTGGAACCCAATGATGAACGGATACTCTGTGGACAATGAGGCGAGCCATTATCAAGTATAGATTAACACTACGAATACAACAGTATAAACTTCCGTAATGATTTATATTTTATCGTCACGAAGACGATATGAGGAGGACGACGTGTAGCCTTCCGTGCCCCTCTTCGAAGAATCTGAAGGACGTGAACTGGAGGATCGGGTCAAACAATGTGCCTCAGTGTATGTTCGATAACAGTCAACCTGGTGTGGATTGACAATCTCTGTTCCAATGCACAAAACGAGTACATATTTGTGGTCGTCCCACTTAGGAGCTGATTGTGGTCAGGACGAACAGATGTAAAATGCACAAGATGTCGTGGAAAGCAATATAATTTGATGAAATGAAATAACTCATCGATCTCAAGATGGGACTAGTGGACGTCGAGAGTTGAAAGGATTATTGGATTTTCAAACCTACTCTAATATATCATCGCATTCCATATTCTGATGGTTTGGTCTTTTTTCCTCACGCTGCTTCAAACCCCACGCCCACCAAGCCTCTCATACGTTCGGGATTATGAAATTGATATCAATTTTATCGGAGCTCATTTCACACCCTCCAATCCACATAGGGACGTCCAGACACGGCTAACCCAAGTAGAACTAACTTGATCAGCATTCAGTGACATTCATGAATAGAACGAAAATCACCAAGCAGCAGCCGAATCCACACTCAAATGCAGGACACTCGTGGAATATGGCTGCGAGGAAACGAAGAATCCAATCTAGGAAGTGGTGGGATATTCGATGTTTTCTTCAACAAGCAGACACGAGGTTGTTATTATAGAACTTATTAGGATACAATAGCTGACGTTTCGGCGGTTTCGCCTTCTTCAGAGCCGTTTCTTTGTTGTAAGTATTCAAGTCAGTTGGTGGATAGCAGCCGCACAGAGTAATACATGGGCGATAACTCTGAAGAAGGCGAAACCGCCGAAACGTCAGCTATTGTATCCTAATAAATCCTATAATAACAACCTCGTGTCTACTTATTGAAGAAAAACATCGAATTACCAATCAATGCCGCGGTTAAATGAAAGTCGGTCGTGGGAATTGCTAAGTGGTGGGACATATCCAATATCTGTTATGTCGGTTCATTTAGAAATGAAAACCTAGATTTTGTAGGCAACTCAATGAATGACCGACGAGACAAGTTGTACCAGAATGGACCAAAATCGATAATGAATAAGGCATGAATTTAACGAAAAACAAAGAGATGAAGTCTAATCTCGTCTTCTTTTTGCGTGAAAAAGAAACCATTTCTCGATCGAATTGTGAGTGAAAGGTGATGAAAAATGATCCCATACGACAATCGACAACGTTCAGGATAGTGGTTGAACTTAGATGTGGCTTCTAAACACCGAAACCAACTTTGTCTCAGAAGAAGGTAATAATGACTGTTTCGTGATCTACCCTTGAACCACAACTTTCTGAATCCTGATGGAACGATCGCAGAAGAGAAATATTATCAAGAAATCAATGCAGTATATCAAATCTGGGGCGTATACAGCCAGTCTTGGTCAAAAAGAAAGCTGTAATCCTCATGCAGAACAACCAGATGATGCACGAGTGAAGCTTCAGAGGTTGAACGGATTGGACTCTGCTTCATTCGCCATGCTCATCGGGCCTCTTTAACCGATTACCACTTCCTCAAGTCTCTGAAAAACTGCTTAGGAGGGACGATCTTCAACAACCAAACTTCTGGTGAAAGATTTCACTGAAGTGTCGTAATGCGTCAAGTTGTAAGGAGAATTATTCCTAAAGCAGCTTTAAATCTTGTTATGCACTCAATCAGACTTTTTGAGACATCGTATAGGCCATCGTATGATCAGATCTCTTTGAAAAGACTTCTAGAGTAAAAGAAACAAGACAGTGATTTTGGCACAATGATAAGATCTCTGATAAAACCGGATATCTGAGATATTTTGCGAATGGGAAAACTTTAGCGAAAGGGGAAATAAGCGCTATCCAGTCGATTCTTTGGAACGAAAGTACAAATGGCATACGACCAGATAACGTTAAAAAATTAACGTTAAACTTGCGAAGAAGCTTGGCGGTAGTGAGACCCATCCTTTCGATTCGTCTGACCTTACCTGATTCTTTTTCACTAGAGTTCTTCATTCTAATACATAAAAAATATAAGTCGACTATTCTTTATAACTGGAAACCCCACTGAGAGACAATATGAAGCACATGAAACTCATACAACGCAAATGAAAAAGGAAACTGGAGACTATACTAAATGGATCAAGTAGCAATCTTCTTATCTATTTAACGTCCAGAATTGTATGCCTAATTCTGTGGTATTGAAGCACTTAATAGCCCTCTAATTTTTCATCGCACGCGATGTGAATTGATATCAATTCATGCGGGACGGTCTGCCTGCACTTGTGAGTCATTCAGAAAAGAGGAAAGAGTCAGAGGCGTTAATAAGACGAAGAAGAAGAGAAGAAGAAGAAAAAGCAAGGAAATATGTCGAATTTAGTGTATATCAAGGTTTCAAAGGACTGTTTATAATGCTTATTTAGGTATGAGGTCTAAAGATGGAATCACTGGTAAAGAGGTTTTCATAGCTGGAAAGTACACCAAGCAGATCATCACGTCATACCTTCATTTTTCATCCTTTCCAGATCATCTGGCGAGAACTCCGTGAACCAACCCTTGTGAAGTAAATCCATTGCTATTCAGTATCGTATACTAAATGGCAAAGTATTAACCATGAAACAGTACCCTTTAGAATAGAATCTAACAACTCGGGAAAAACAGAACGAGAAAGAGGCGAGTGCAGGGGCGACAATGAACTTAGCAAATAAGATACGGCGCTCTATCTTATCTCATAAAAGGTTGACCCTAAACAAATTTGTCGATGAAATGTGTTTGTGGCTATATGGTCAGCACACTGACGACGATATGCGTTGATATCGATGCAGAGGTAGGTAAGGTAGGGTACGGTGATAGCCGAGCCTGGATCTTGTTCGACTGCCCTCTGCGCGCTCCCTTCGTTTGCCCCGCACTCCCACGCGACCAGCAGCAGCCCAGTTTTCTCTCAGCACCTACTTTAGGCCTTAGCGGCGTTAGCTCTTTGTTTCGTTGAAAACCTCTAAAGATGTGAATGAACTAAAGATAAAGATCTAATGTTAGAAATTCAGTGACACGAATAAAATGGTATTGGACTAGGTTAGTGGCAATTATTCCCACTTCCCATACACTCGTAGGACTCCGCTCATAAATCGATAATGTTTGTTATCAGTAATTCAAAAATGAGTGTAAATTCATAGCAATAAGAACATTCTTTTGTAAAAAAGACGAAGAACTACCGATAGCAAATTGATTACAGAGCCAGTACTGCACGTCTGACTTCGCGATCAATATTGTAGCCATTCCATGTATTGTAAACAATGCATGTAAGTTAAAGCAAATCTGTCATTCTACGTGGAGTATTTGCATTGAATTCCAGATACCTATTAAATGTTGATTGATGCAAGTCAATCGTCTCTTGGATTTAGTGTGCTCGACCAATGTTTCGAGATCGGATGTTTTTGGAATAATGTCGTAAACAGGTAAGTTATCAGTTATGAAGGCTTAATCTCTTCCCTGGTTTTATTTTGTATGGATGCTTTCAGGACGTTCTCTGGGTTTACCAAACCCCCCTCCCCCCGCACCACCCTCCGACATTTCATTTCTTGTAATGGGGCAGATGTTTTTTTTTCAATTATAACAAAGTTCTGGTGGTTTTACTACAAAATAAGGACGTTTTATGAGTTTCTAGTGATAAAGGAATAAATGAGAATGAATTGCATTCGAATTTCGCAGTGTCATTGAAACCCCCCACCCCTTCACTTTACTTATGCGCTTCACTTTAGGTGATAAATTATCAGTGTATCTTATCTCACTGATAAGCTAACATCAGGTTGATACCGTATACTTGTAATATAAGTTCATATAAGTTGCCCATAGTTTATGTAATGCGTATATATTGAGTGCTTGTCGTTTATACAAGATTTTTTAGGGAAAGAATTAGGCAACAGAAGAATCGAGATAGCGCAATTGTTCAGATGACGGAGTGAACACATCGTGGTTTCTAGCCAGCCTAATGGTTTGAAATTTTGAGTTGTAAGTTCTTTTTTGATGTGGTATTGGAATGGGTGGTAGACTAGAATGATTCGATTTGGGATGTTAATGACTTTTTCGTCTGGCTCACAGTAGGTGAGAATATTTTGTTCTTGTGCTTATAATCAAAGATAAAGGGTAGAGCTCCCAGTGTTGATCAATTCCTGAGGGATGTGCCATGCATTCGACTTCATAAGGCATCGTTGGAGGTGATTGAATGCATATCTGGCCTGTACAATAACCCACGATGGCCTGCCGATGCATCCAGCCAGTGCTGCTATCCTCCCAGACAAGTCTGGTACCAATTTTCTGACCCCGGAGGTATGAAAGGCTTGGTGGCCCTCGGGCGAGAGGATCGATGCCATGTGTATTACAGAGCACCTCCGACCACTATGCTACACACGTCCATGTAATACATTTTCAAAATTCTCTGCAATCTCTACACATTGAGAATAGCAGTGGTGAGTGACGTAGGTAGTGGAGTGACGAAGTAGCGTTGATAGTTGTTCTTTCTCACAGTACAGTAAAGTGCCTAACCCGTTTTTATTTTTTCTTTGGAGAGTTTTATTTTCATAAGACTAGTCCTTAAATAATTGAAGAGTCACCAAAAATCTTTGTTTCGGCTTACCTTTTAATGAGCTTTCTCGACAAAAAGCAGGTTTGTATGAAACTATTATGTACTGTTCCCTAAACAGTAACTTCGATTGAGAACTGTTCTTTGGCGAAAGATGGATACAGGCGCTGAATGATTGAATATCATTAAAGTTCCCCTTTATTCTTTGAACTTTTAATGCTGTTTGTCACACTAAAATGTTATAAACTATTGATTGAAACTGCTCACGCTTTCGATTTTTAGAACACGATAAAGAAATAATGTCGCGATAGTCGGTGAAAAATTGTCCTAGGTAGCTTACTGTTGAGCTGCTGGCTTTTCGCCAATAATAATAGAATAACTGGACGCATTCGGAGGTAAAGTATATTGCGTATGGTTTAATTTCCTTCCCTAAATCCATCGGTACAGTTAGTCAAGATAGGTGGAGATAAAGATAAAGCTCTCAGCGCTGGTCAATCCCTTAAGGATGCGCCATATATTTGACTTTATTAAGCATCGTTGGAGGTGATTGGATGCATGTTTGGCCATATCTGACTAGCGGTGGCCTAGCGATCCATCGAGCCAGTGCTACTATACTCCCAGGCAAGTCTGGTAACAATTTGTCAACCCCGGAGAGATGGAAGGCTTGGTGGGCTTGGGGCTCGTTGATCGGTCCCATATGTATAGCAGGGCTCCACCGACCACTGCGCTACACGCGCGCAGGTTGATCAGTATGATAAAAAGTTTAAAGTGGCTACGTAGGAGTTTAACTTCGTATAATGAAGTTTTTCGTTATTTCGACATTTCAAGGAGAACTGTGTTCAACCAGTAATCAAAAGTAGATGAGGAGAGGGGACGATGGATCTTCAGGCCGAATACTTACATGAGTGCATTGGTTTCGGATGATAACTACTTGAAGAGAAGAGACCATGAAGTAAGTACTGTGTGCCCAATGATGCACGAATTGTTGTGTATTTGTACAAAAGATTGTTCGTCAACAACGCGTGGTTTTCTTAAAACTGTCTGAACTCAAGACTAACTTATTATTTACTGCTTACTACATTTTTTCATGGTAGAGTGTTATGTAAGATACAGCCACAATGATGCTGAGATATTTGCAAAACTCAAGACCACAGGTGTCTGCGTTGAGGAACGAACGCGCTATTATCGTTTCCGGAGCTGACGAGTTCTCCACCAGAGCATGCGGGTCTTTCGTTTAGCCTTTATCTTAGCTAGTTTTCTATCTACCAGTGCCATCATCTATCACCCGTCAATGGGACAGTCTTTACTGTTTACACACAGATACTTAAGTTTCGATCTTTTTTAAAGGGATTGGTACTGAACTGAAGCCTTTAAAATAACAATGCTCTATATCTATTAGCATTACTTCCATTATATATTTGTTTAGGCCACCCAAACATCGTGGCAAGTGCTGTGAACTTCACATGCTGTTTGTAAATGTTTACAGCAAACGTCTCCTCTTCTAAAGGTATCAGTTTAAAGTCCTTTTTATTAGGACTTAACTTCCAATTATAAATTTTCTTTAGGTCTGAGTAATGCTTGTCAGGCTAATTTCGGCTTAGGTTGAGGACCACACTACGTAGTTAACGCACTTTTAACAGCAGTGCATGCTACTTTGCACACCACTGTGCTCAGGACCACAGAATATAAATTTTATCTTTCCATTTATTACATTTCCACTTTTCAGCTACATCTTCTTGCTAAATTTGATCAGGATGATGGAAAATCAGAACCAAAGGGGACCAGTAAGCATTACTAGGATCTAATGTCAGCTCTCGAAGACCTTGTATCTATTGCCTTGCGAGTGATTAGACCCTTAAATTGGTATCTCATAAATGTGTTCGCGGTTGTACTTATTACCTAAGAATTCACTGGATTCTTTGAGGGCGATCTACGCTCTTCTATGTAGCGCTTTTTTTTCCTTCATGAGGGATTAAGGTGCCGTATACTCTGGTGTCTGTCCATAGTCCTTATGCTGTGTTTATGCATGCTATTGCACAGTTCCTATGCTCAACGTTAATATTTATGGGTAGGTAATATTTCCAGTTCTTTTCAATTTGTAAACTCCACTTTCCGTATTTCCTATTTAAATGTTGATGATTTTGGTATGTAACAGACTGTAAATAAGGTTATCCCGAGAACTCTGGTAGCTAAATGATTTGAGGTACCAAGTTTCGACCCTTCGAGTGCCGTAATCCATCGTCATTCCGCATCCATGTGGTTTCGTATGTGCGACCCAGTAATTCGAGACCATTGATTTCTCCTTGCATTTCCAGGGGAAAAATGAAGTTTATCAATTAGAGATCTTGGCTATTTGTTCAGTTTTGCAGATTGACCTATTCTTTCTTGTTAGTGCATTAACTATCAGTCCACACATTTTTAAATCAGTCTAGGCTTCTTGTAGTGGGAGTCTTTTTTCGCTAACCCATGGAGGTTAGACGGGAGCGAGGTTTACACCATAAATATCGATTTGTAAGAATGCGTGTGCTTCTGAGTGTGCCGATTGTTCTAAGATTGTAAACCATAACGAGATTATCATGGTTTACCGTTGTAAAAGTTGTAACCGGTTAAGGAAGTGTGTAATACGACTTGATACATTGATTTGTATTATATGATTTTGTTGCCTTCAATGCTATAAATTTCTTTTAGTATATAGATTAAGTGGATATGTCTCGCAATGTGGTATAGTACAGTGTAAGCACGTGTAGCGTTGTGGTCGGAGGCGCCCTGCAATACACATAAGGTCGATCTTTGCACCACTGGCTCGACACATCGGTAGGCCAATGCTAGTCATTTTAAAGGCCAGATAAGCATTCAGTCAACTCCAGTGATGCTTGATGAAGTCGAATGCATGGCGCATCCCTCAGGGATTGATCAACGCCGAGAGATCTATCCTTTATATTTTATATAGTGTAGTAGTAGGTTTACCCGTTTTAGGAAAAACGCCGTTTCCAA